CTAAAATTTAAAAAGCATGTAAAAATGAAAAATCTATGTTGAAGCTTTTATTCCAAGCTAATAGGCTAAAGTAGAATAGATTAAAATAGAAAAAAATGCTAAGTAACGCGTTTTGCCTCTAGAGCGAACTTCTTCAAAGGACAAAATTCGTTACTTTGGAGTTTTTTCCCATTTTGTCATTCAATTACCCATAATTGGTCTTATATAGTGATATACACATTTGTATATTACACACACATTCTACTTTATGTGATTTAAGGATGTTATATGTTAAAGCAAATCCCAACATGCCCGTAGCTTATTTAATTACAAGCAAGATATTTTGGTTGAATCATTTTTTTCACATCATCGCGCTGATGATTTCATTTTATATCAATACTATTAAAATAGTATTTTTCAATAACCAAACATTGGTTCATTTCAAGTATTATTTGTGATAAAATATACACAGGTTTATACAACAAGCAAACGAAATAACCTCGATTATTTAATTCTAGAGATTCGTTTTCAATACCAGATTCAATTTAATGCCGTTCATCCAAAGAAAGGGCAATTTAAAATTAATTTAATAAAACAAAGACTAACATTATTATATAATTTTCAATGTAAAATTTTAACTTCTCAACCTTTCAAGTTTAAAATATTTTTTTTTTCAGATCCGATACCTACTGTGATGGAATTTTGATTAAATTTTCTCCTGATTAGAAATGTTTCAGAGCGGGTGCTGAAAAGTTCTCGGTTTGACGTACTTCACAAATTCTGAGCAAAGGAACAAACATTTGATTTTTTTTATTTTCGAGAAAGAGATTTCCATCTCTCTCTCTCTCTCTCTCTCTCTCTCTCTCTCTCTCTCTCTGTGTGTGTCTCTGTCTGTCTGTCTCTCTCTCTCTCTCTCTCGTAATTTTTTCTCGATTTATCAATAAATTTAAATATTCTTGAATATAAGAAATTATTGTAAGTTTGAATATTTCTGTGATAATTTATATTTTAACTAAATGTTAAGTTTAGTCGAAATATAAATCCCTACCCAGCACAAAACATTTCAAAATAGCGATTCATATTGAAAAGCGTCATTAAAATCCTAAATTTAATTATATCTGTTTTATTAGAAACGCACAACCAAGAATTTTTTTCAATTATTCTTTTTTTCATTTTTTCTTTTGTGTGTGTGTGTGTGTTGTGTTAAAATAACGCTTACGTATAAAATTTCAAATAATTTCAAAACAGTCGTGAAATAGAAATTTAAAGCATTCATTTATTATTATTATTATTATTATTATTATTATTCCGATTTCTGCTATGGTCGCACTATCTACCAAGTCTGCGGGAAGACCTAAGGCAGATAGTGGTTATGCTGTTATGGCTACATTTCATGATTTTTTTTTAACTCCCATAGCATCACTAGAGTTACATAGACAAACTTCTTGTTAGTGTATGGACTGTACTTATCAAAATATATTATATACTTATCACATTTTTTGTATTTCACTTAAGCTGGGATCTCCAGGGAGTTTATCAGTGTGTTGTTGTCTTCCTTTTCTTATCATTCCAAGCGCACCTACTATGACTGGTACAATTTTATTTTCAATTTCCACATTATTATTATTATTATTATTATTATTATTATTATTTCCCTTATCTTTCTTTATTTTGGCTTTTATTGGGAGATTAATTTACGACAAATTGACAAAGTAAACTGAACGCCCCTTATATTTAATATATTTATAATTTAGAAAATTTAAGTTTTTTTTGTTTTTTTGTTTTTTTTTTATATTCGTGATCTGGGAAGCTTAATCGATAGTGATATGAAAAAGACAGTGATTAAAAATTATTATTTCTTGGAGAAGTGTGTTTCTGTAGAAAATCTCTATTTTTCTGTCGTTATTTTTCATTCATTCTTAGAGACCGCACGATGGCTGAAGAATGGATGATCCGAAATGTTGTATCAATAACACTAACAAGGAATTCAGTTGGCCGAAGAAATTTCGGAAAGAGAAAACAATTTTACACTTGCAATAGTTTTGTGGATGTTTTAACGGTTTATTTTATGGCAATAGTGTTTGTGGTTATATGATTGAAGTAATAAATTCAGTATAAGATAAAGCATCAACAAGAAATATGAGTTAAGTAAAATTCAATCTATATAAAAATATCGAACCATTTTTCTAATACCGAAGAAATGCCCCAGAATTCTTTTCCTATCAGAACTTGATTGAGTTGAACATATGTAATCATAAAGACAATATGTAGACAGATTCGATAATTAGATGACGCCCCGCCCACCCTTCTCTGAAAATGTTCTGTTATTGCTTCATTGAGTTTGCAGTCAAAACAAGGATTATCCGAAAAATAAAATCACTCAGCTAAATATATATCTAACACGAGACTGGAACTTATTAAATAAGATTATTTAAGTTTAAGGCTCTCCCAATTCTTAGTGAGATTGTCATTTTAAGTAAAGACATCAGTTTCTGTCGCTCCCCTTTCCCATTTAGAAAAA